TGCTGAAGTTGACCCCTCCACCTCTTGTTCTTTCAGATCACCTCTTGGAACCATTGGAGAGAGCTTCCAGGCCGGCACCATCACGGCAAGCTCGTGTACAAAAGACAGGTGATTCAGGAACACAAGCTGAAACAACTCTTTACAATATCGAGGACAGCCTCCATAGAAAACTACGGATGGGCTTATGGTTTGGTTAATAAATGATAGACGCAAAACAAAGGACATAGTCGGTCACGAGAAGGATCTCCAGTGGTGGCGTCGTGATCGGACAAATAATGCGGGGTCGTACCTCGAACTACCGCTGCGTTCAAACCCACTAGTACAGCAGCACCCATTCCATTTCCCGGCAAATTAGTAAAACAACCACCAAACAGTCACAAGTCGCCAAAGGTTCCTTGTAGTTAGCGAACAGCTTTCCAGACCATGAGCCTCTCTACGATCGGTGAGGCGAAATAGCTGTCGCAGTCTGCAACCGCAGATTCAAGCCTTGCAGGATTAGTGTGAGATGAGTCACCTTCCGATACCAACCTGGGGCTGCCAATAAAGTAAGTTGTTCTAGTTGACCATAAAAATACCAACATTGCGATACTACTTGGGAACACCGGCATTAGTCTATCGAGTTAAATTCGTTCGGGAAAGGCATAGATGGATGGTCAGGTGCTGCATTTGCACCCATCGTTATGCAATACCGAAGAGCAGCTGCATATAATAAACAAAGCAGTCCGACAGTAACAGTACGGCAACTGGAACGGCAGCAGACAATGAACTCGGACCTCATCCCTTGATGCGCTAGTATTCACACTACTTCAGAGGCAAAGTACACCCTTCCAGAAGAGGATAGAACTATATATATATATATATATATGAGTACCAATTTGATAAACAGAGAGCAATCCGCATACGCATACACATTATGAAATACGGAAAAAAGCACCTTGAGAAAGGAAAGTGAATGCATGTAGATTGATTTGCTTCATTGGGCTTCATTCTGCCTCAGCACTCCAGTAACACAGCTCCACATCCGAATCTGAAAGTCATCACAGATGGATTGCACTAAAGACCACACACGTCATGCACGTACACCCCCACCCACCCACTCCATCCATTCATCCACGG